CACAAAGATATAGCAGACTAGAATTAGGATACGCCCAGCGAAGAGCGCAGATTTTCGTACCTACTTCGATCGAGCGGTTTCGTGAAAATGTCCGCTACATTGAGTTTACCGTCGATATGTTGAACATTCACCTCCTTACTGAGGTGTTTCTCTCTAATAAAGAAATGCCGTATCTCTATATGTTTAGACCGCTTATGATACTCAGGGTTCTTGGCTAGCTTTACAGCGCTGGCGCTATCCACATGCAGGGTCGGCGCTTCAGGAATGCTCTCGCCAAGCTCTGACAAAAGTCGCTTTAGCCAAACCATCTCCTTCGCTCCCTCAGAGGCTGCGACAATTTCTGCCTCTGTCGTTGAGAGCGAAACCGATTTCTGCAGGGTGCTTGACCACGAAATCGCCCCACCGGCGAAGATCGAGACCACACCTGACGTCGATCTTCTCGTCATCCTGTCTCCGGCCAGGTCCGCATCTGAGTATACGATGAGTTCACTTCCTCCTCTTCGATATCTGATTCCGAGATTGATCGTTCCTCGAAGGTATCTGAAGATCCTTTTCACGGCGTTCCAATCCTTCTTGGTTGGTTTGTCCATCGCTCGAGCCGCCTTGCAGACCGCGAATGCGATATCGGGACGAGAAGCTGCGGTGAGGTAAAGAAGACTTCCGACCGCCTCACGATATGGCACGGTTTCTGACAGGGCTCCCTCCTCATGAACTTCTTCTTGAGTTTCTTTCTTTTTCTTTCTTCTCGCCGGAGTTGATACTGGATTACTTTCGGACATGTTGAACTGTTCTAGGATTTTCTCCGTATAGTTGCTTTGGGTCAGACCAATCGACCCATCGCTTCCGCGTCGGATTGTCATTCCCAGAAAGTTCTCTAGCGATCCGACCGTGATCTTGAACTCGTTCTCCAGATTTTCCAAAAACTCATCGAGCTCTTTCTGACAGCTCGCAACGGCCAAACCATCGTCCACGTAGATGGCAACAAACAGGGACTTTCCCGATGCGTTCCGATGGAACATACATGGATCAGCATGGCTGCCTGACAGCCCTTGCTTTCGCATGAACTCAGCGAATCTCTTGTTCCAGCATCGAGGTGACTCCCTCAGACCGTACAGACTGCGATTCAGACGGCAAACCCTGCCGCTTCCATCTGCGAATCCTTCCGGTTGCTCGAGGAAGACCTCCCTGCCTTCGATTGATCCGTAGAGAAATGCCGTTTTAACGTCAAACTGCGCGAGAACCAGTCCCCTTGGCGCGGCGACGGCCAGCAGAGCTCGAACCGAGTCGTATCTCGCGACCGGACTAAACGTTTCATCGTAGTCTATGCCCTGTCTCTGGACATATCCGAGGGCTACCAAGCGCCCTTTGAATTTCCGACTTCCGTCTTCTCTCTGCTTGACTCGAAGGACCCAACGATTTCCGATGACTTTCACACCATTCGGCCTGTCGACGAGATCCCATGTGTTGTTTTCTCTCAAGGAATCCAGCTCGTCTTTCATCGCTTCTAGCCATTGTTCTTTCTCTTCCGACTTCATTGCTTGAGAGTAGGATCCAGGACTGCTCAGTGGCATCATCGCCGTCCTGGACACGCAAACGTAATGAAATGGTAATCTCCATTGGTCATCCAACCGGGACGCCTCGTGACTCGGGAGCTTCTTCGAAATAGTTCTGTCCTCGAGGAAATCGTGTCATCGCTCCCCTCAAATTCAGGTGCGCTGACAGGGTCCCCTCCGTCGTCACTCTCTACAGTCTCGGCTTCAACCATGCTGGTTTCCATCTGATCTCCAAGCATTTGTGGTGGATCCTGCTCTGCTATGTCAGGATGGGTCTCGAATGCGTCGATGTCTCGCTGCTCTGGCATCCCTACGATATACTGCGGTGTACACTCCTTCTCCGGTCTGAACCTTACGTCGTGGCTTTGGAGAATTTTTCTCAATGACGGACACCAGACGCGGTAACCGTCGCGGTCGTTGACGTATCCGATGACGCGACCGAAAACTGCCTCCGCGTCGAACTTTTCTCGTGAATGCTTCTGGATGTAAACGTAGCACCCCGTCCGGAAGACTCTCAAGTGTCCGAGACCTCCGAACGGCTTACGGAACCAGAGTTCGTATGGCGTTTTCTCATCGAGGGATGATTTCCCGGCCCGGTTAAGGATGTAGGCCGCCGTGTTACACGCTTCTGCCCACAGAGTGTTGGGCAGTCGGCTAGCGCGCAGCATAGAGCGAGCAGCCTCAACGAGAGTCCTGTTTTCACGCTCTGCGCAACCATTGGGTTCCGGAGAATACGGCGGCGTTACGCAGTGCTCGACACCGTGCTGTGAGAGCACCCTGGCCACGTCTCGATTCACGAACTCTCCATCTCCGTCGGATCTCAATTTCTTCACGATAAGACCATTGGTCTTTGACTCGTTCAGGAACTGTTCGAGAGCGCCGCACACCTCACTTTTGTGTCTGAGGATGAAGATCCGTCGATATCGGCTAAAGTCGTCTTTGAAGAGAACGAAGTATCGAGCTCCGCCGAGTGACTGAGTCTGCATGGGGCCATTCACATCCGTGTGGATTAGCTCTCCAACTTCGCTTGCTCGATCCATACGGTTTCTGTACGGGAGACGGTGCATTTTCCCGAGAGCGCACCCCTCACAGAATTTTTCATCCGTTTCGTTGAAAACCGTCCCGGTGCGTTGCAGAATTCGCCTGACATGCTGTTTGTCCTGATGAGCGAAACGTTCGTGGTGGAGCTGCAGACTGTTCGATGGTGTCGCCAAGTTGATTTGGATCGGCGTGTCCGGTTTCACGGCGCGGACATTCATAGCGAACAATCCGCCAGACGGGTATCCAGTGACGACGAGTTCGCCGGTACTGTCTCTACGAACCTCGACGCCTCGGCTGTTGATCGACGTGCTGAAACCATTTTCTGCAGCGACCTTCACGGATAACAGGTTGACGCTTGCATCAGGAACGAAGAGAACATTTTTCAAAATGGCCTCCTTGTGCGGACCGGCGTTGTTCGTCCGCATTCGGATGTTCCCTTCACCGAAGGCAAACATTTTCGCATCTTTCTTGCCGAGGGAGATCTTCTCCGGTATCGTGGACGGTCGATATGATTCGAACAGACTTCGGTCAGCCGTGATGTGCCTGGAAGCCCCACTGTCGCAGAACCATTCCCTTGAGTCTTGAATCCCTAGGGCAGCCTCCAGCGACGTGACTATGAAGGATGCGGCCTCACGCTTGTTTTGAGTGTCTTTCTGGGGGCACTCAGCCGCCCAGTGTCCTCGTTTCTTGCACACCCGACACGGGAACCGATCCTTCTTGTTGGTCTTCGCTTTGCCGTTCGACGATGCCGATCTCTCCTCGTTTCGTGGAGCCTTTGTTCTACTCGCCACGAAAGCGGAGGCAGTCGGACCAGCTTCAGTAGATCTCGCTTCACGGAGCTCTTTAGCACAAAGTTTCTCGAGCAGTAGATTCAACGTCTGATCTCTCACGGGCAAGGTGTCCCATAGATCCTTCAGAGTGTCATGCTCCTTACCGAGAGTAAACAGAAACCTCCCGACGAGCATCCGCTCCGAAAGGGCATTCTCGCTGTTCTTCACCAGCTCGGTGTTCAGGTCCGTGAAGAGCTTCTGTTGTTTGGCGACGTGAGCGCTGATGTCTTCAGATTCCAGTCTCTTCGACTGGAAGAACATCTCGATTAGCATGTTCAATCTCTGGGAGCTACTACGCTCGAAGCGAGCACACAATCTGTTCACGATTTCGAAGGCTACAGTTGTCGTAAGAACCAGATCAGCAATTGGTCGAGATAAGCTGCCGGCAATTATGCTGGATGCCTTAGCATTATCTTTCTTCCACAGAGCCAAGCTCTGTCGATCCTGATCCGTCGAATTTTCATCTATCACGGGCTTGACTTTCGATCCGTCAACCATTCCTTCCAGACCCTGGGAGCATAGGAGCAGTTTCATCTGCCACTTCCATTGTGGCCAGTCCTCGGGGCCCTGGAGTTTCTCCACCTTTGGCTTGAACTCGGCGTTCGCCATCTGATGGAAAGATTTCTTACGTTGCGATTCGAATCCTCGGTCGAGTTTTTCTTGCGTATTTCCGTCGCAGTGTGCTCGGAATTCTCACGGTGAATCAGCACGATGCACGTAGGCCGAGCAGACTAGCTTTACTGGACTTTCCTGGCCGACTCTTCTTAACCACGCAGCGCACACACACTGAGCCCATAACCTGTTAGTTTTAGACAGATTCTTCGGTTAAGAGAGTCGACAGCCAGATGGGAAATCTGTCACCTGAACCGCACAAATGACCCAGATCGATCCTTCACCAAGAGACCGCTCCCGCGCTCTATTTCGTTTATTTCTCGGAATCACGTAGCTCGTCCTTGTCCGTCAATTAGGCGCTTACTGTAGGGACCTCTGTCTCTCTCACAATATTTGCTGATTTACTAAATTGCCTGACACGATACACCTTGAAATTCAGGGGTCGCTGTCCACTACCGAGTTTCTGATGAGTTTGCGAAGATTCAAAGCGCGAAGGGGCTGTCCTCGTACGTTCTACTCAGATAATGCCAAGGCCTACAAACGCGCCGCGGAGGATCTGAGGCGGTTGTGTGAAATCATGAGCGACGCTGCGGTGCTGGAAAACCTTGCGAGAGAGGGAATCGAATGGAAGTTCTCAATCGAAAGGCTCCGTGGCAAATGGGATTCACGGAGCGTTTGGTGGGAAGCGTGAAATCCGCGCTGAAGAAAGTCGTGGGACGAGCGGTTCTGAACATGCAGGAAATGTCAACGGTCCTTTGCGAGGTAGAGCTGATGATAAACCGAAGGCCCTTGTGTAAAGTCCCGGAAGCGGAGCATATTGATATATTGACACCCCAGCATTTTCTTGTGATACGCACAGAAGACCCGACACAAGACTCCATGATTCCTAGCAATGTGCGGGCGAGTGATATACTGAAGCGATGGCGACACAAGAAGAACATCATAGAAGCGCTGTGGAAAAGATGGGAGCACGAGTACTTGCTGCTGTTGAGAAATTTCCATGAGACAATCCCGAAGACCTTGGAAACTTTGAAGGTTGGGCAGATAGTCATAATCAAAGATGTGAACACCCCGAAATTAAGCTGGAAAAGCGCGCGTGTTGAAGCATTGAACATCAGTAGAGATCAGGTTGTTCGATCGTGTAAGCTCAGAATGGGAAACGGAAAGCTGTTGCAAAGACCACTATCGCTTATATATCCGTTGGAAATAGAGTAATCTAATAATCGAGTGATCTGTTATAATTACGCATACGAAACCATGTCAATCGAAGTCAGGCGTCGCGATTAGGATATTCGCCGCGGCCGGAGTGTCGTCGGTGCCTCGAAGAATTTACCGCCGACGGTTTGAGAGTTGAGTGGCGAGAGGAATAGAGGAGAGACAGAGGAAAAACAATAGAGATGAGTTGGTTGTAAGATCCCTTGAGTCACGCATCGATTGGAATGTGCAATAAATTGTGAGAAAAGTGAGAAGTGAAACACGGACATCTTCAGTTCAGTTCGACACTACCGAGAGCTAGAAACGACACTGCCATCACCGAGACCGCTCGTTGTATGGTCCTGGTTCAGATTTCGCGATCTGTGAGTGAACACGTGTGCGGAGAGTGACCGGACGATTCTGCCAATGGCTTCTCCGGACGGAGCGGGATTGGTTTCGCAGCGTGAAAAACCGAAGCTGGCTTCCGGAGGACATATGTTTGTTCAGGACAAGCGCAGCAAGGATGGAACCACGGTGTTCTGGCGATGTCAGTATCTCACAAACTGCAACGTGCGATTCCACACGTCAGCTTCGACTCAAGATGTCCTCGAAGTCATGAGTAGAGCTCGGAAGTTCAGGCACTCAAAAATCTCAGAAATGGCAGGCGGAAAGGCACTGAAAGCCCACGAAAAAGGCACCGAAACTAGGCAAAATAGGCGTAATAGGCAGGGAAACAAACGCATCGAAGCGTCCATCAGTGTCGTATTGTGAGAATTTCAGGTGGTAACATGGATTCCCATCGGTGAGTAATCGACGCCGATCCGATACGAGCATTTTACAAGGACGAATTTTTTTTGCGCGGTCTGGCGGAGCATCGGAACTTGTCGAGAGCAAGATGTGCTCCCGGACACTAGGTTCGCCGACCTCATCTCATCACCGTTCTCAATAAGAAACCCTCAGTTTCCCCCGAAATTCTCGGGATTCGGCCCATCAGAAGCTCGAAAGGGCACTCTAGGCACAACAAAATGCAACAGGCATTTCACATCAAAAAATGCCGAAAAAAGCAGATATAGGCATTTAAGGCATAATGCCTGAGCTTCCGAGCTCTAGTCATGAGTCTCCATAGCGATGAGCCCGACCCTGCAGCGGTCGAAGTGGCGAGGAACAGAGTTGCTCTGAAGCAGAAAGCTCTGGAATGCCAGGAGACCCCGCTGCAACTGATCGAAGGAGTTATCGAGAGGTCAACCAAAGCTGCAAAATTGGTCCTGCCGAGTACCGAAATACTCTCGAGGTCGGTCAATCGCGCTCGTAATGGAGCTAGGAGACCGATGGCTGCTCCAGTAAATCGCTCATCTCTAATTATACCCGATGAATCCATGACGTTCGAAAGCGAACCGGGGACTGAGGAGCGAGCGACTCTCGATATAACCGCGATCGTCGGATCGTTGCACGCTACCGTCCCGATCCAGGGGAACCGCCTCGGAGTTTACCGACAATTCTCGCGTATTCTTTCTCCTCCAACGTTAGTCAGAGTCGTCGTAACGTAACATCGTTAATATGGGTCCTTCCACCATAAAAAGTTATTTGAGTGGTCCTCTCACCGAGAATCAAAGATTTTATCAAGGGAAAGACGGGAATTCTCAGGATTCCATATCGGCTGGAACGATCACCATGAGAAGGCGGATTCTCGGGGGCTCCTGAGAAGGCTATTGGGGGTTGCCGTCATCATTGTCCTCTGTCTCTCTACTAATGAATCTCGCTGAAAATTGCTGTAGCCTTGAAGGGTATAGATTTTCCGGAGAACATCTATATATATAAACACGTATGTCTGTCTGTTTGTTTGTCTGCCTGTCCGGGGTACCCCATAACTATAGACTAGAAAACGGCGGAACCGATTTTCGTGAAAATTTAGGAGCGTGTTCTGGGGAATCCAGCGGTGGTTATAGGGGGTCGGTTCTCCGATGCGACGAGTCCTTCTACCTCACAAAAAATATTTGAGTGAAACATCCGAAATTCGCAATTCACAAACGCCTGAACCGATCGCCGCAAAAATTCAGGCATGGGTTCTCGGGCGCTTCTGGAGGGTCATATGAGGGTCGTCGTTCTCATGTGATGGGTCCTTCCACCTTAAAAGAATTGTTTGAGTGGTCCTCTTACCGAGAATCAAAGATTTCATCGAGGGAGAGACGGAAATTCGCAGGTTTTTTTATCGGCTGAACCACTATGAGGGGGCGGATTCTCGGGGGCTCCTAAGAAAGCTATCGGGGGTTGCCGTCATCGTGAGAATTTATTTCTCTGTCGCTACCAATCTCTTCGGATATTCACGTCTAGAGGGGATGTCGGGATGAACAGAATTGGAATCTGTGAATCCTCAGACTCGGTAGCGTCGTGTCGGTGTGACTCATAGCGTGGGAACGCTTTCCTCGTGAGTCATACATTCGGGGTTCTCAATCCCGGTTCCGACGTAAGCTAAACGATAGTCCGCTAGTACGAAAGCGGGACTTAAGATTGCTAGAGTGAGTCACCCATTGGGTGGTTCCCAAGATATTGTACGGAGACTTATCCAGCCTATGTATGTAGGTAAGCATGGTAAGGAAGGTGGAGCTCGCCCCACCCTAACTCCTATATAAGGAGGATACAATCCGAATAAACTTTACTGTGGTGTCTCCCCTTTTTTGAGACTGTACTCCTGTTAGTTCACTTCGCTCACTGAGCTAGTGTGTTTCCTCACTATCCGACCTTTCCTTCAACCGGCCTTTGCCAAGCTGTTTCAACACGTTATCAGCACGAATTGCCTCTTACCAACAATTGGTCAGTGCTCCGTGACCGATCGGTGACGTCGGGAAACAACTCCCAACAGGGTAAGCTGCTTACTCCTACCTAAGGGTATTGGGAGTGCGGCAAAATACAGCTGCAGTCAGGTTTTCATTTCGGCGAATGCAAAGTGCTCCGGGGATCGAGGATTTCGAGTTTCTCTCAATCCCGTCTCAACTTACCTTGCCAATCATGGCAAACAATACAACAAGCGGATCTGGTATGAAATTTCACCAATTACAAAATGTGCGACTTGCCGATGACAGTCGGAATTTGCTCTCTTGGCGGACGTCGGTTATCGCGGTTCTACAGAGTATTCCCAATGCACTCAAGGCTGCTCATGGAGAATTGCCCTTGAATGACCCTCTTCTTGAGGCCGCAAACGCGTCGGCCAAAGCTAATATTCTCAATACGATTTCCCGAACCCTTGTATCTGCCTACTTCAGCATTGATGCGGAAGCGGTGACTGCTAAGGATATCTGGAAAAAGCTGGAAAGCCTCTATGGTGGCGAAGGTACCACCTCTCAGGGAACAGCTCAATTGAAATATGATCGATTTAGATATAATACCTCCAAAACGGTTGCGCAAAATCTACAGGCCTCCCAGGAGGTCATGGCTCGAATGACTATGTCCGGCGTAGTGGTCTCAGAGGCCGTAGCCTGTCAGAAGCTCTTGGGTCTTCTCACATCTTCATGGGAGTCCTTACGTTTGTTCTGGTCTGTTAAAAGTGGGGACGAGCAAACTCTACCCAAGCTATGTCAATTAATTCAAAGTCAGGAAACTCAGCGAATCACCGCTGCTGCCGCAAATGGCAATTCTGATCCCTCTGCGATGTTCTCTAAGCTCTCGATTCGTAATAATCGATTCCGTCAGAATGACCGTAATTTCGATCGTAACTCTAACCGGCGATCAAATGGCAATCGCAGCAGTTTTAATTCTACACCTAACTATCCGCAGACGAACTTTCGTCACAATAATCGCAATAATCTCAATCGTTATGATAATGGCAGTAATGATCAACAAGATTCGCCTCAGTATTCTGGCTCTTCTCGCCCTTCTGGCCGACCCACTTCTTATAACCAATCGCGTTCAAGCAATTCCAATTCGAATGGCAGACCTCAGGGGAACCGCTCTCGACCACAGAGCAACCGCCCTCGCCGTCCGTTCCGTGCCTCCGCTCATGTCGCCCAGTTGGATGACTCCAACAGCGATGTTAAAGTGTCCACTGCAACTCTTGACGAGGTCTCAACTGACCCGTCAATCTGGCTTATTGACTCCGGTTCCTCGCATCATGTGTCCGAGTGCGATGAATACTTCCAAAGTTACACCGTCTACTCGTCTCCTCGCACAGTTGGAGTGGGTGGAGACCAGCGGCTCTCCGCGCTCGGTGAGGGCCGTGTAGACTTGGAGGTGTGCTCTTCCAATGGGGAGACCACCCTCATCAGCCTGTCCTCCGTACTTTATGTGCCCACTATGCGTCGTAACCTTGTGTCAATGGCCGCTCCAATGACTGACAATTGGTCTATAATTGCCACTAAGACCGACCTTCATCTGAGCCGGGAACTAGCTATTCTGCGGGTTCCGATGAATGATAGTCTTTTTGCCCTCCGAGCGAGACCCGTGAAAGTTCCCACAAATGCCGAATGCTTGTTCTCCTCATCACGGCCTCTGCCTCTGCAAAAAGCTCATGAGATGCTTGGCACATAAATAAGCGCCAAGTTAGGCAGTTCTTGTCTCGAGAGGGAGTCCCGATCAGGGACGACCAGATCACCTGCACAGCCTGTATTCAAGGAAAAATGAACAGGTCGAGCTATCGCTCTAAGCCGACCTCTTCAGCACCACAGTCCCTGGGTTATGTGTCCACTGACCTCTGCGGTCCTATGCAAACCACTGATCTTGAGGGAGCCAAATACTTTATGAACATCCATGATCAATTCTCTAAATTCAATCGAATTTATCTCCTCAAATCGAAAGACCAAGCGTCGGATCTTATCTA